CAATGCAAACTCACATCTGCACTTCAGAATGCCACGGGCTTGTATCACATTCTTCAGAGACCAGATGCATGTCCCCAGTCACATTTGTGCTTTGTCCCACTCAAGCTTCCAGGAGTGTTTTCTCTGAAGTGTTTTTGTCCACTGTCTGCCTCTGCTTTCATTCCCTTAGTCCTCATGGTGGTATTGAGTCAGTGTAGCCTCTTTAAATGTGCTTCTTGGAGTACAGGCACTGATTTTTATGGGGTTATATTCTGGCTGGAACACTGGCTGGCTCCATACCCAGACAGGTGATAAAATTCATAAACACTTCACTTCTCAATGAGGGGACTGGCCATCTATCTATTTTAGTCTCAAGTTCAAGCAGAAATGTAATTTATCCATAATCAACATCTTTTTCTTACGAGTATATTTTGCTCTATGTGTTTATAGGACCTAATGAAAGCCTCACTTCTTGCCCAGGATTTCCTGCCCATATGAAGGGTCATTTACTGAGGTCAGGAGTGCTCATATAGAGCAGAAAGAATAATTTCCTTTACTACAGCAATTACTGGCAAAAATCAATGACCCCTGTTAAGCTGGAGGCCAAGGCAAGTAAATACAATAGTGCTTTCTAGATTTTAGAATTCCCAGAGCCTCAGAGGTGTGCTTCCCCTCACACACGTGCTGAGGGAAACGAGCCAGCCTTCTAGACAGGGGTGTCACGCTTCCTGGCATTCCAAGGTTACAAAAATTATTTTAGTGCAATAGAAATGCAACCTTTAGCTGGCATTGAGGTTGTCCAGTTGATGGGGGAGAAAAAAAATCTCTGAGGGCTTCTTGCAGTGGAAGTGCCACGCTCACCTGTCCATACACCAGTGCTGTGAGCAGCCTCAGACAGCCTGGGAGACTTCCAGCACAGCCCTCACCGTGCAGAAATAGTTCAGCTCTCACTCAGAAGGCTCAGCTCTGCCTCTGTGTCTGTCCCCGTGCCTTTCCAGGGCAGTGTCTGGTGAGACTGACAATTTAATGGTCACTTTGGCTTTTTATTTGCAAAGGACAACAGCCCTGAGGGAGAAGTGGCCTAAAGCCCATGGTTGGGATTTTTTTTCAATTCTTAAGCCAAATGTGCAGTGATGGATCTGGCAGCCACACTCCTGCCAGCCACCCCCAGTCAGCTGAGCAGCAGAGGGGGGATGCAAAGGCTGCTCTCTCTGCTCTGCACTGTGAGACAGTTTCTCTGTCACAAACACTGAGGTTAAACAGTGGACAAGGGTCTGAGACAGCAGCTTCATCTGTTCCTGCAGAATTCACACGATTTGCTGCTGGTGGCAGCAATCTGCATTCAGGGAAGACTCTGCCTTGCCATCATTAACTTCTTTAACACCTGGCACTGCAACATGCCCTGCTGAGCTACCTTCTCAGTATTGAACTCTGGATCAAAAGCACCCAAATAAATTGAAAAAAAAAGAGAGAAAAAAAAAACCCCAAAACTTTTCCTTGCATTTGTTTGAAAACTTGCTACAACTTTACTGCCATCATTTAATTACAGACCAGCAGTGGGCAGCAGCCAAACCTGCACCCTGTGATTAACCTGCCTCATGGTGTCTGATGGACATTTGACTTAAAAACCCAAGAATTTCATCGCTCAAACAATTTATTAGATCCCTAAGCCTAAAATAGGTTTTCAGTAATGTGTGCTGCTTCAGAGCCTTAGAAAATCTACTCTGGGAGCCAAGAAACATTTCCTAAAAGGCAAAAATGGGATCAAAAACATATTTGATAAAAAGGAGAAGGAGTAATGATGGTTTTTAACCACAGTGTTATTTTATTTCATCTCAGAAGCATGCTGTCAGTTTAAGAGAAGGGAACATCTATTGGATTTTGTTTTGCATCTCTTTTAAATCAAAATTACTCTCACCTAGGGCTGCAGGGATTTTCCCCCCTAAACCAAATAAACTATATATTGGAATGACCTTGTAACAGGTTTTTGTGGCTCTTTAATCACTGGTGGCTGCTAAATGAAGCATATCTATTTTCTCTTTTACATTACTATTGGCAACCAGGTCTTCAGTAAGTGCCCAGAAAAATTTCCATGGCAACAAAAAGCATTCAGCATTGCTACTGTTTTGTGCCAATTTAGCTTTAAAATATTCTATTGTGGAGAGAAATATGGTACATTAAGTGAAATAAAGTCAAGATGCAATGTTCTGAAAAGAATACAAGGATAAACAGGAAACATGTATTTTGCAGGAATGGGGGGGGGGAACTGCCAAATGGAAGGAAAAATGTTCAAAGCTCATTTTGATGCTACTGAACAGCTTTGCTGAATGTCAGCAAGTCCATGTGTCACTTACATTGTCACTTAGGGTTAGGTAAAAAGCTAACAGAAATAAGGATACCTCGAACATCTTCTCTTGATCATTTTAATCCATGACTGAAATTTTAAGTTGCCAGGGTATTACAGTCTCTCTGCATGTCTAGGTTACCATCAGAGCAGTTCACACTCTTGATGTTAGAGAATGAATCTAAAGGAAAAAGAGGAAATAAAGAGTTGAAAAATAAAATACAAAGAGCATGTGTGTTTTGGAAGTGAAAGTTCACTTAGAAGAGTGAAACGAGTTCTTCCACATCAAAGGGTCTGTGGAAGACATTTTCAAATCACAGTTCAGGACTTTCTCTCCCATTATACAACTTAGTTCTGAGAGAAAAAGGTTTCAGTTCCCAGCCCTCTAGCCCTCAAACAGCCAACTTTTGTGACTGTGAAGTCTTGAGACCATTGGATGGCCCTTGTGCAGTGAATTGCAGAGGCAAAAAGATTAAAGTCTATCTGAGACGATTTGGAATGACATTCCCTAAGGTGCAAAAAGCTGTGCAATGCTCCCTGAAGTGCTTGGTGAGGAAGCAGAGAGCTCTGGGAAGCAGCACTGTAGGTGCTGGGAGCTCTGTGGGACCAGCCTTTTAGTCCACAACAGCTCCAGGAAGGCTGGGGAGCAGGAAAACCAAAATATATGGAGAGAGCCAAAGAGCAGCTTGGCCAGTTCCTGCTCTCACCTGGGAGAGATGAGCAGAGGGATGAGCTCATCCCTTGAGCTGCAGGGATGGGTCACTCTGGCATCTGTCTGTCACTAAGTCTCTCTCCCCAGGAAGCTCCATCTGCTCCATCACCCACTCCTAAGAACCCTCTTTCTCAGGTGTCCCTGCAGGTGACAAACAGCCCTGACAGGGACAGCAGCTCACTCCTGGCCCCCTTTTCCCTGAGAGCTCACCACCTTTCCTCCCACCCACTGAGCAGGGCCCAGGGACAGGAGCTGCCCCAGGAGTGATGCATTTGGCAGCTGGCTGACCCCAGGAATTGCTGAGAATTGCTCCAACATGTTGCCCCTCCTGAGGCACAGGGGTGCAGGCTCTGCAGGAGACAAGGCTGTGCCCTAGCACTTGTCCAAGAGGATGCCAGCACTCCCTGGATGGACAGCTGGTGCCCTGCCCCACGACCTCTGTGCACACACTGCTGACACAGCCCAAGCACACACAGCAAACCCAGCAGCGCTGGCTCAGTGCCCCAGACAAACCCTGGGGCTGGATATTGCACAGGCAGTGTATGGGGGCACCAGAAGGTAGGGCTTGGGCTCCCAGAGATACAGCCCTGAGACCTTTAATCTGAGAGCTGGCAATCTTTCATTTGGAATTCAAAACAAGCAGTCCCAGTTTGGGAGGCAGAACAGCTAGACCAAAAGCGCTTTTTAATTATTTACTCCCTGGCCATAACAGAGTGAGAAACAGCAATAAAGAGAACAGCTAATTTTATAGTCATTAAAGAGCACTGTCAAGGTTTATACCCTCTCAGTCTGATATTCCTGTTAAATATGAAAACAAACAGGCTGATCTTCCACAGTCTGCAAAGAAAAGGCTAAATATGTAATCCTCCCTAGAAGCCAAGAGTGAAGAAAAGCTCCTGGTCATAATAAAACACACATTTTCAAGAGCATCTACCACCTGCTTAAAAAGAAGAAAAAAAAAATCAGATATTTGAAGCCAAATTCTGTAGATCCTCAGTGAGTCTCAAGTTCTTCACCAGCTCCATATTGCAGAGCCCAGTCCCCCCATCCTCTTTCTGCCCTTATCCCCATTCCCAGGATGTTTGCAAAGAGCAGCTTTATGCCAGAAAGACCCAAGGATGGTGTCAGCAGGACTGCAGCTTTCCTGGGTGTTTTCAGGGCCTACACCAGAGCTCTGTGACCCAGGAAAGCTCCAGCCACACTTGTGGTGGCATGGAGTGAGCACAAGTCATGTGGCTGAAACTCAGCTCTGGGCCTCAAAACACTCCTGCTGCCATTTAAAGATCAGAAGTCATAGTTAGGCCTATTTAAAACTGAAAATATCAAACTCAGTTCTCCTTCCCATAATCTCCTGCCTGCTGTCTCTTCAGTCTTGTTTAAAAAGCCTGTGGGGGTGGTGGGAGGGAAGGAAAGCGATTTGGGAGCCTTTCATCCATAAAATCATGAGATACGGCTGGCTTTTTAGTACAGCATTTCACAGCACATGGCACAGTAACATCTTGAGATTCCTGGCACAAAGAAACAAGGTTTGAGATTACATATACATATATATATATATATATATATATGTGTGTGTGTGTGTGTATATATATCTTTAATAGCAATGACGCAAAGGCAGATGGTTCTCAAAGCAAAGGTTTAAGGCTAAACATTCCCTTTGAAGGGTCCTGCTACCAGAAACTAAACAGGGGGGAAGCCAAACACTCCTTGCTAGAGCAATGGGGCCTGATTACCTTCTGATACACAGCATTTCACCCTGGAGATCTCCAATTCTTTCAGTGAGATTAGTCTCACAAACGAGAGAAGAATTGGAAAGGTCAGATTTTTCTTTGGGATTTGGGGAGTTTTATTTTAGCTGTGGGAAACAGAGACAATACAGAAGATAACGAGCAGATTAGCAACTAAATCAAATCAAGAGCAGAAAAGAAAGGCCTGGATAAAGCAGTCAGGGTGCCAGCTGCTTACCTGCACAGCGTGCAGTGCCATTAGCACTGTTTAAGGAGCCACCCAAGCTGAGGCTGTGCTCAAGACCTCCCATCCTCAAAGAAGGCTCACCTTCTTCCTCAGCGATGGGAGGAAGCCGATCAAGAGGCTGGAGGTCTTCACTTGTCCAGTAGGATCCATTGGTTGTCAAGGTCCTGCTGCTTTCAGCGCACTGCTCTGGCATGGTGCTGGTATTTTTAACTCTTTTTTGCCTCTGTGGACCCGTGTCAGAGCCGGGAGGGAGGTTTTGTGAAGCAAGATCAGGGCCTCCAATGCAACTGTCTTCTCTAGGATAGAAATAGTCCTCATCCCAAAGGTCCAGGTCTTGTTCCTCATCTGATTCCTCAGAATAATCCTCATAAACGCCTCCATTGTTCTCCAAGTCCTGGGTCCTCTCTTCTTCTGGCTTACGACCCACTCCACTCAAATTCAGCAGCGAGGCAGATATGGAGTCTCCTGCTTGTTGGATCGCTTCGTATATTTGAGACATCCAAGAAGAGAGTGGCTGGAGGAAATTCTGAGCAGCCTCAGAAGCCATGTTTTACACTATGCCAGTGCCTGGTGATCAGTTGTTCAGCTTTGCCAGCGTGTCACTTATAATTCAGGGAGCTACAGAATAAGCACCATAAGAAATTACTGTAAATTGCTTGTCCATCAACACCTGTCGGCACACTATCTATGACAGAACTCTATCTACGTCTAGAACTGAGAGAGGGAAATGGAAAAAGAACTTCTACTCATTGGGAATACCACCAGAAATCCAGAAATGATGGACAAATTGCACATATTCCTGCAGAGATCTGGAAAGCTTTTATTCAATTGGTAAACCTTAGATAAAAATAAGAGCACAGAACCTTGGAACACACAAGTAACTTTTTGAAGTGCACGCACTCTGGTTACATCTGTCAACAGACCTGGGGAAAAAAGGTATGAAAAAACCTGGAATCAAAAATCTCAAACTCCTGGCCCCAGTTTCCTTAGCATTAGCATGACCAGATGAGAAAACTGAAGGGAGGAGAATTTGGGGAGAATTATGTTTTGAATGATGAAAATGGCAGGCCTAAAGCTTGCAGTAGCAGCCCATGGCAGACAAGCATCTCAAATGTTTTGCTCCAGAAAAGTTATGCAGAAACTCCTTCTGCCCATAGCCCAGAGCTGTTTTGCCATTCACAGAAATGAGGGGGAAAAAGAAAAAAAAAAGCCAAACAGAGGAGGTGTAACATTATAGGTACAAAATTACTGGGAACAGAAGCAAGTTAACAAAAACACTGGTGTCATCTCAATATGATACTTTTTCAAAATTCATCTAAACTCTAAATAAAAACATAACTTGCAGAAAGTTAGCATGCCTTTTTGCCTGATATACATCTTCCCACATTATCACAAGACAGATATTCTTTTAGGAACTCTGAGAAGGAGAAACCTACAAGTGGGATATGGGTTTAGGAAGAAAGAATTAAATAGGTGCAGATTTTAGACTAAATGACAACTAAAATGAAGCTTCAAAGTTAATATAAATGTCTTGCTCGATTGAGAGGTCTAAAATCAATCAAAGTATGAAAAGGTAAATACAGTGTAGCAGCAAGAAAATAAGCTCAGCAGCAACGTGCATTACCTTGTGAAATGGTCTCCAGAGAAATGTAGTGGGAATCTCAGTGTTGTGGATCTTTGAATGGAGCACAGACTAAGGAGACCCCACTTTGCTTGGTGAGCAGCTCTTCTAGACATGAGATCAGTGACTTAAGAGGACTTTAACTTTTAAAACACCTGTGCCAAATAATTTTGTTCACTTATGTTGATTTATGCTGCAGACACTTCCAACAGGTTTAATGTCAGCTTCAGCATGTGCTAAGAACTGCAGCCCTAACAAGGGCAGTAAATGAATGTGGGTTACTAAAGGCATTTTTAAAGCTGTGGCTGTCACAAACCCCCTGGGCTCAGGGCACACGCTGTTCCAGCATCCATCTGGCAGGCTCCAGCCCTCAGCTCAGCCCCTGGGACCCAGGGAAAGCTCCCTGCCATGCAATAAATCTTTGGCAAGGAACAGACAGTGCCATAGCCTCGCCTCCCAGGTGAGCAGTTCCCTTCACTGAATCTCTTCTTTCCAACCCTGCCTTTGGCAAAGCCTCTCTGCTTTGTGCAACTGATTTTCTCATAGACCAAAAAGAAATTACAGGCTCCAAACAACACATTTGCAGTATAATGTGGTGAATCTACTGGTAAATCACAGCACCAGAGAAGTCACTGGGAGGAGATGGTACTTTTAACAGTGAGATTCTCCCAGACATGGAAGGACATAAACTCTGGTGGGTAAGTGCCAGATACTGGAGACATTTTTAACCTGGCATTTATTTACAGGCAAGAACAAAAGAATCCCTGGTTTCTGATGAAAGGAGAACTTCACAGTGCTCTCCCTCTGTCTCAGCAGCAAGATCCATGGCAGCAGTAGCCCTCAGAGGGATGCAGGTATCCAGAAGTGATAGCTAACCAATGGAGATAAAACATATGCGTGCTGAAATGAAGTGCTGGTCTGTTCTAAAAATCAACAGAACATAGCCTTGTGATATTTGCATGGGGAATAATTAGCTCCTCTTGTTATTAGATTTTGAAGCTAACACCTGACAGATCCAACAGAGCTATCCCACTTCTGGATACACCAAACTCAGGCAAACATCACAGACTGACACAGGGTAGCTGGTACCACAGGCATAAATATGGAGAGAGTTCTCAAGGGCAGATTTTGCATCAGAAAGGGAAGTAAAGCAGTGATCTGCAGCCACCTGGGAGAGATGAGCTTGGATGTGGTCACTCGATCATCTGGAGCAACAGACAAAACTTGAACGTGAACTTTGATATACCAAGAAGTTTCCTGTAGGCTGGGGGAGAACAGGACACACACACGTATACACACACGCACAGCTCTGCCCAAGACTGGCACATTGGTCTGGATCCAATCCTAGGAACCCCAACAAGTGGTTTGAATTCAGTTTAGTGACAATAGAAAGACGATGATGTGTATTTCACCAAAAATTCTAAATCCCTTTGCAGTTACACCTGCAACTCCCACATGAAACTTGCAGCCCAATGCCTACATAACCTCTAGAGGCAAAAGCAATGTCTTTTCCAGGGTGCCTGACTCTATTTCACCTTTGCTTTTCCCACCATCTCCTTACTAAAGACTCCACAGTCAGTGATATGCTAAACAACTGGAGTTCAGCTGAATTATAAATGGTTTATTTTTGTTCTTGCAGCAGATGGATAAAATGTATAACAAGCTGCAGACAAGTTTAGGCGGGCAACGATTTTACAAACTCACCAGAGGATCAAAGGGGGCTGAGCTGTGTTACAGGCTTGCTGTTTCCCAGGAGCTCTCTCCATTAATTAGGAGACACTGCTCTAACAGCATGTTTATGATGTATTTCACAACACCGCCTTTTCAACATAACGGATTTTTACTTTTGATTTCTCTAACAGTTTTGACTTGCATTAGAAGAGGGGGAAAAAAAAAACCCCAACTAAAAGAGCTGAGAAAAGTTTAAAACGTGTGGGAAATAAAAAAAAAGAAATCCATTTCTTTCTAAAAGTATTCATCAAACAAGAGAGAGGAAAAAAGCAGTTTAGCAAATTTACTTCAAGTTCCATCTTCTAAAACCGCCCATAAGAATTTTCACACCAAATCACATGCTAAACTCAAAGTGGTTAGGGCTTTTTTTTTCCCCTCTCATGGAAAATCAGATAGCTAAAAGGATCAATGTTGAGCCTCTCACAGAAATCATCATAACCTTTACTACAATCCATATTCTCTTGTCTTGATAGGATCATTATTCCTGAGTAGCATTCCCATTGAGAGGTGCAATTACTGTATTGCTAAAAAAGTAGACTATTACCAGAATTTCAAATACAGCCACAATGCAGAGGTTTGTAACATTACAATTCAATCTTTTTGATAGGTAGGTTCCTGAAAAAAGTGCCATCAGTTGTGCATTCCTTAATGTTTCCCTTATTCAAGCTGTTGCCGAGTGTAGGCACAAACTTCCTTTTCTTCAGTCACTTTTTGTGTGGCTCTTGGAAAAGTTTTCTACCAAACCCCTCCCTCAGAGGCAGAACACAGGTTGGAAATGGATCATATCCATGGGCAAGAACTTTATTTGTGTGGATGTCAAAGAAGAAGAGTGTGACTTACCCAGCATGAAGTTCTGCTCCAAGTTTAGGGGGAAAACCTAAAACAAGGTGTGAATCTAAGCTGATGCCCAGAACATCAAGGATCTGTGCAAAAGGTAAGGTTTTTGCTGTTCACAGAAGGGGGAAATAAGGAAGGCTTGGAGAGGCAAGATTTTTTGAGCTACTGAAAACTGTAATGAGTCTGATCCTCCTTTCAGAGTAGAAGCCAATTAAAATACACATTTAAAACAGCAGAGGGTAGATTAGAAATGTACTCAGATGAAGGCAGGCAGCAGCAGCACGGGGCCAAGAAATCCTCTATCCTGGTTCTGGGAACAATCTGGATTCTTTGCTCCTCTTGCAGTTGCCAGAATTGTATCTAACAAGATGCTTGCAAAGCCCTTGCGCTCTCACCAAACATTACTATGATAAAAATGTATTTCCAGCTGAAATTGTCACAGTGCCAAGCCCAGCCTGTGCACTTGAAACTGTTCAGAGGGTTGGAGCCTCTTGCAGAAGTGTTATGAGGGAAGTTCACAGACAGTGCCCAAGGTTCACATCAGCTGTGAGCATCACTACTGACCAAACTTCCCTAAGGTAAGGACAAAACAGAAATACAGAACATCTGGTACCTTTTTGGCCTATTTTGTGCTGTAAAAATGCTATTTATGTGGTTGAATCTAACACACACAAAAAAAAGAGAAGACAGAGGCACTTTCCAAGTGATTATGTGCTCTGTGATAATAGTTTTCAGCTGGTGAATCAGAAACTCCGGGGCACTGAAGGAAAATCTAATGGTTTATGCCAATAAATTAGACACATCTCATTGGAAACATTCAGGGGTTACAAATCAACACAGAAATAAACCCACTGCTGCAGAGCATTGGCCCTGCAAGCCCCAGAATGGTGAGGAGAAAACAAAGATGAGCTCAGGCAGACAGCAATGTACCCGGCTGCACGGGGCTCAGCCCACGCACAGGAAGCCTGCAGACTTATTTCTCACTCCCAAATCATCTCATGTCTTTGCAGGCAGCTCGCTAGTGATGCTGTGCCAAATTAGTTGTAAAAATTGATACCCAAATGACAAAAAGTGGTTTTGATCGGGATATTTAGCCCCATGTTGTCTCCTACGTTCCTTTCATTCCTTTGTTCATGCTCTCCTTTTGTCAATAACAATGGCAAAAATTACTGATCTTCACTGCTTCAGTGGGATGGGGAGAAGAGGAAAGCGGTAGAAGAAAAAGAGGAATTATGCAAATATGACATTTATCGTTCAAAATTGTGGAGCTTTATTTCAAAAAACCCAGGTCTCTCTATCATGCAGAGTACGTGATGACAAATTCAGGGGAAAAGTGTGTTCATCTCATGTAAATCCAGGGCACCCAGAAAGGAGAGGACCTGTGAATGCACAAATAAATATTATTGCCACCAAAATGTTGATACAAAAC